TGAAGTAATTGTAGACTCACATGCAGTTTTTAAAACAATACAGAAAGAATTTGTATACCCCTCTCTCAGTTCTTCCCAGTGGCAACATCTTGCATAACTCTAGCACAATATCACAATCAGAGAACTGACATTTTTGTGTCTATCAATCTTGTTTGACTTTTGCCAGTTTTACGTGCACTTATTTGTCTGCACATATGTGTGTGTGTGTGCATTTTGTTCTTTACAGTGCTGTCATATGTGTAGGTTTCTGTGACCACACCAAAGTCAAGATACAGAACAGTCCATCACAAGGATTTATTTTATAACCACACCCTCCACACCTCCCTGGTAACCACTAATCTTCTATCCATCTCTATAATTTTGTCATTTCAAGAGTATTATATAAATAGAATCATACAGTATTTAACTTTTGAGTCTGGCTTCTTTCATACAACATAATTCTTTAGAAATTCATCCAAGTTGTTGCATGTATCATTACTTATTTCTTTTTTATCACTGAATAGTATTCCAGTTTGTTTAACCATACATCAACCAACAGGTATCTGGGTTGTTTCCAGTTTGGGGCTATTACAAATAAAGGTGCTATAAACATTTATGTACAGGTTTTTTTGTGTGAACATAAGTTTTCATTTCTCTGGGATAAATGCCCAAGACTTCAATTGCCAAATCCCATTTCTCTGGGATAAATGCCAAGAATGCCAAAGTGTTTTCCAGAGTGAGAGCACCATTATACAGTGTGTTTTACATTACATATTCCCACCACTTCTCTGCATTCTTGTTAGCTCTGGTGTTGTCACTATTTCTTTTTTATTTTAGCTATTCTGATAGGTGTATGATGATATATCATTGTGGTTTAATTTATATTTCCCTGGTGGACAATAATGTTGAGCATTATTTCATGTGCTAACAGTATTTAAGGAGCTCATCCTTTCATGGCATGACCATTGCATGGGAAACAGTTCCCACTCTTGCCCTTTCCAAAACAGAGTTAGACAGAATCCCACTTCTACTCCTACCATAGCATAGCCCTTATCCTTCGGTTGTGATTTTCTGTCGAAAATCTCCAAATGGCAGGGTCAGTTTTGCTCTGCTCAGAAGGCCCAGTATTGCCTATGACAGATTGACTGCCATTTCTTTTATTAATGAATGGATAATAAAAGGCAAAATGACTTCAGTGCTTAAAAAAAAGGTAAGGGTACAGAGGAAGAATGGGACAAGGAACAAGACTAGGCATGGTGGTTGGACCCCTTTAGCCACTATCCAAGCTGGACCTTGGGCTAAACCCAGAGACCACACCCTTGCTCAGGCGCATGCGTAGCCCCCGCCCGGCCCCGCCTCAACACCGCCCTTCAGCCACTCCTTTCGGGCCGCCTCCTCAGTCTGTGACCAATTAGGAAGAGGAGGAGGGACCTTGGGTGCCGCGGTGCTCCTTGGGTAGAGTCCCTAGTAACTGTTGCTAAGGCTGCGGATAGCCAAAGGTGGTGCGAGTTCATAAGTTTTGTGAGCCACGGCCTGAGAGAGGTCAAGGGTCAGTGCAGAGCCAGGAAGGAGATGGTGAAGCAGACGATCCAGATATTTGCGAGGGTGAAGCCCCCTGTCCGGAAGCAACAACAAGGGGTACGGCCGGGGCAGCCAGGTCGCCGGCGCGACGGGACCTCGGGAACTGGGGGCGGGGGTCACGTGAAGGGGCCCGGCCAGGGGGAGGGCTCGGCGGCTGGCGCTGGTGCTGCCCGGAATCCCACACACAGTGACCGAGGTGCCCCCTCTTCCACGCAGACTCCTTCACAGTGCTATCAGGGTTGCGACTGACACCCAGGCCACTCCCTCCTGACACAGCCCTGCGGGCAGACAGACCCTGTACGAATCCACTTACATGCGCTCGGCCACAGGTGCCCATGTAGGGGCACACTAGTGCATGCACAGTGTGCCTGTCTGCACACTCACAAAGACTGAACCTCAGCCACACGCAAGCACTTACTGCACCTCTCTGGGAAATGCCACGCAATTCTACGTACACAGATTCATGTCTGGCACACCCCCTTCACTCACCTGTTGAGCTATTAAGCTTTTTTAAATGTAATGACCTCCAGAATCTAATTTTTAAATGTTTCTAGAGAAAACCTAGCCAGGAAGCCTTGACCTGGTGCCATTATTTTCTATATAGAAATTGTATCTTGCAGAATGACTTTTCTGCATGAAGTCTTCACATTTTAAATGAGAGGTTTCAATAAAAATGTACTTAGGAAATTATTCAAACTTTCTGGAGATTTAGGTTGGCTTTTACTTGCTTACGGATATGATCTTTCCCCCCTATAATCAAACAGCTAAATGGGTCCTAAATAGGAAGTATTGCCTGTTAGAAAGAATTTTATTTCACGGTGAAAGACAAGAAGTCTTTTTAAAAAACCTTTAAATCTAATGACTAACATTTTTTATGATGCATTGCAAAATACTTCCACTTCCATTACATCATTTGATACCCACAGCAATCTTGTAAGGGAGGTAATTCTGTTTTCCTCATTTTATGTATAAGGAACCGTAACTCTGAAAGCAGTGGTTGATCACATAGTTGGTAAATTGAGGTCATTGTTGGACCCAAGTCTGGACATCCATTATTATGCTTTTATTTATTCTACATGACCTCTTTATAGGTTTGACTCTTGATTTTCTTAGCCAATAAATGAAGTAGTATGAAACCAAGAAGAGAACCAGAGAATATTACAGTTGTAAGGGCATTGGTTAAGATCTTCCATTTCCTTATCAGCTGAAGAGTCTAAATGATTTCTCCCACATTACTTGTTAATTAGTGTCTCAACTGGGATGAGAACCTTGACAATAACATCACAGACATGAATTACAGGTGTCTTTTAAAACCACATGTCTTTTATCAAATACGTGAATGTGTCTCATAGAACCTTGGGCTTTTTTGAACACAACGTGAATTATTAGAGTATTCTTGTGAGCTCTTTGAGATGTCTCAGACCTAGTCCTTTTATCTCTGTGTTTTAGTAATTTGTGAATACACAGACATGCTTATTGGTTGTAATAAAATGTTAATTTCTGATACATAATACTAAAGCAATACTTAGATAATATGTTGCGTTCAGGACTATTAGTTTCTCAATGCAACAAGAGACACCTAAATGCTCAAATTTGACTATTCATTCATTCAAAGATGATTTTACTTTAACACATCATTAATTTGGGTTTTACCTTTTGTTCTGTTGCTCATATTTGTCTGAGTCTACATAAAATTCAAAGAGGAAAATTATCCAAATTATACTACTTTATGACTTTTTATCTTACATGGATAATTTCAGTCCCATTATGTAGCATGATCATAATGGAAGCCGTTCTTTTACCATCTTATGTCCATTTGTTATATTCATATTTGCAGATTTATTCCATAGATGAAAATGAAAAATTAACACCTAGCTTGGAAATTATCTTACCACGTGATATGGCGGATGGATTTGTGAATAATAAGCGAGAAAACTACAAATTTAAGTGAGTTTATCTTTCTCCTTTTTAATTTCTTTTGTTACTGAACTAACCCTTGTGTTCCATTAATGTCCACTGTGAAATTTTTAACACCATTTCTTATGGGGAGTGCAATGCGACTCTCTGTTCATCTAGTAGACAGAACTCAAGTTGTCTTTTCATTGCTGTGCCCAAGGTAGAAGGCGTATCATCATTCTTCTCAAAAGCACTGCTAAATATCTGTGCTCAGACGTCATACCAAACAGTGCTCTGAAGACTAGTTCAGCAACCATGTGCTATGTCAACCTCCGTGTTATGTTAGCACTCCTTTCTTAACCTGTTTCACACCTATACAGTTTGCAGGAGTTGTCTTGCAGGAGTTGTCACACTCTAAAAGTTGCTTAGGATGCCCTCAAAGCATTTGTTTTAAAATGCTTGCTTTAAAGTGCCCCCCAAGTTTTTATTTTGAAAACTTTTAAATATACGGAAAAGGTAGAAGAATAACCCAATTAACACTCATGTGTTCTTTGCAGGAGATTTGCCTTTTTGCTAACCTTTTGCCCCATTTTTACATTTACTCTCCTGCTCTCTCTTTATCCTCATGATGTTTTAATGGGGGCCATACTTGCTGATCGCAGTTTACCACATTGTAGAAGAACAGCTTCTGTGTCCCCTACCCCAGGTATTCTACTGTGCTTGTGTTTCTGTACTAAGCTAAATCAGAGTGGCATTGCAAGAAGAGGGAAGTTGATGTCATACCACCCCCTCATGCCCCTAGCCATTGCCAATCTGATTAAAATCTTCTCTTTCCAGGGCAAGTCCACCTTAGTTTACTTTTGGACTTTTTTTTTTTTTTGAATGCTTTAAGACTTTTGACTGATGGTTAAGAAAATGAAACAAAACCATCCAGAGAATTAAATGGCTGATACTAGGACGCACTACTTAATTAGTAGAAAAATAAACTTCAGTTCAAAATATTAAAACTAAGTTCAATAATCATGCAATTCACAGTTGTGTTCTTTTCTCACAGGTCAGACAGCAGAGGTTCTTTGGCTATTTACATCCTGTTCTTGGGTTTCCATTTCATGCAGCTATCTAGATCTGAATTTCATGCCAATTGCAGACACTGTCCCTCTTGAGAGCTAAAAAACACACAGTTTATTATTTTGTTCAAAGCTGCTGCAGATTTTCAGAGGGATTTATTGTGCAGATCTTTTCAAAGCAATACTGTTTACCCACCATTTGTACATAGGAGTACAACAGCACAGTATAGTTGGGACTACAGGGCAAACATTGTATTAAGTTAGGTAAGCCCAGTGATGTAAATATGGGGTAATTGACAAAGCTTTTAGGAAAACAAGATTTATTAATCCAGTGGTGTTTGAAGGCTCAACTTTTAAACATTTACCATTTTCACATTGCAGATTTCAAAGGATTTTTGATCAGGAGGCAAACCAAGAGACCATTTTTGAAAACATTGCCAAACCAGTTGCTGAAAGGTAGGATTTCCCATATTTTGTGCAATAGGTTAGTGGTTTTTCATCTTGTCTTCAATTCTCAGATAGTTGTGGTAAAGTGCTTTAGTATATCAGTTGCATACTGAGGCTGCAGGGCATGTAATGATGATGATAACAGTATACTGCTTCAGACATACCGTTAGCTGGACAAAAGATAAGACGTGAGTGGCACCTGGAGGCCTGATGATGGCCGGCCCTTCTCATCTACCTCAGAGACGTCAAAGCTTGGCCCTTACTTTCTAGGTCTCTTTGCTTCTGTATATCCAGGTAGTTCCAGGCTACTGACTGCTGGAACCAAACTCGCATGAGAATACTGAACAAATAAGAATGCCAGGTTATTAATATGTATTGACAAAGTCTCGTAGGGACTAGACACTCTACCCTTTGATAAGCGCACTGTCCTCTTGAATCTGTATTGGAAACGATAGAAATTCACTTCAACTAAGCAACTCATAAGGTTGCTTTCTGATCTTGAAACTATTTGGATGATTTTTATGACCTAGTAATCCCAAGATATGACTCAATGTACCTAACTTTCTAGTCCACTAATCAGTATACCCTTTTTAATGGACATTGCTAAAAACACAGTGCCACATTTTATCTCTCAAACTCCTGTTTTATGAATCCTACTCAAAGCAAACCTTTCCCTTTTAATATAGTCTTTCATTAGGTAAATTACAATCAAGTAGCCTTAAACTATTGTAGTTATAATCATAATCCATTAACACCTCTTTGATTACATTCATGTCTCCTTGATTGGATGTGAAACATTTCTAAAATTTTCTTCCTTTTAGTAATAATTTGGGTTATGTCATTTTTCGGGTAGCTGATCTCGTGTTTTATTTTGCAACATCCTAAAATCATCTGGGGAGGAAACCTTAGTTTCTATTTCATGGATGCCTGGGTTTTCCACCCTTTACCGACTCTCTCTCTCTGTCTCTCTCATCTTGATCCTACTTTACCCTCCACCTACTGCCATTTTCCTCAGCTTTTCTTTATAGAAACTTTATGTGACATGGTTGACTTTATTTACTATTTCACTCCCTCTCTCGAACCCTGTTCTTATCAGGTTTTGGTCTCCTCTGCTCCATTAACGTTGTTTTTGTCAAAGTCAGCTATGACTTTTATTTGCTAAATTTAGTAATTGTCATTTCTCGGTCTTCATGTTCTATGGTGTATCCACTATTCTAACACAGTTCATTGCTGTGTCCTCCTCTAAACATTTCTGCACTTGGGCCTCTCTCCTGAGCATGCTTACTAGCTCTTCCTTCTCAGCTAATTTACTCAGCTTTCATTGTACACAGTGGCCATTTGCTCTTGCTCTTTCCTCTCCCTGGAAGTCTGTTCCCTGAGCAATCCACACAGTTGCTTCCTCAGTAACTTGAAGTTCTTGCTCATTTGCCACTTTCTCCATGCAGCCTTCCTCTACTGACCTACTTAAAATTGCCTATTTTACTCAATTTTAGAATTTTCCCAATTAAAGAAACTTTGTTTCTTTTAGCACTTATTACCATCTGATATGCTATCTTGTTTGATTACTTGAAAGGTTTTGTGTCCACTAGAACAAAAGCTCCGTGAAGGCAGAGGCTTTGTTTTGTT